ATATAAGGGCGAACAGTCTTAAAATTAGTGTTGTTGTTGTTGCTGCTGTTGTTGCTGCTGCTGTTGCTGCTGCTGCTGATATTGTTGCTGTTGTTGTTGCTGTTGTTGTTGCTGTTGTTGTTGTTGTTGTGGTTGTTGTTGTTGTTGTTGTTGCTGCTGTTGTTGATGTTGGTGGTGGTGTTGTTGTTGTTGTTGTTGTTGTTGTTGTGGTTGTGGTTGTTGTTGTTGTTGTTGTTGTTGTTGTTGTTGTTGTTGAACATTATTACTTCTAAAGAATAATTATTGTTGGGACCCCGGGTGCACGACCCCCCCGCCGCGCCTAGGCCGCAGCCACGTTTTCATCATTTTCGTGAGGAAGCCTCAGGCAAAACGATGTGGTCCAGATCCGGTTGTTTTGTTGTCCCCCGCTTTCCCTTGCAAAAAACACTATAAAATGACATTTCTTGTTCTAACATAACCAAACTTCAGGAATCCATTGCAAAAAATGACACAAAGTGCACATTCGCGCGCGCAAGACGAAATCCTTCCAAAACCGTAGTTTTATTAACGATTTTAACATAAAAACATCAAAAACCCAATGGTTTTTCAAAAAAAAGTTGTGAAAATTCTATCCCGCGCGCTCTTGCGGATTCGTAGGAAACCCAACACTTTTTTAACATTTCTGTCAAAAGGGCTTTTGCGAGCAACTTTTTCGAACTTCTGCAACAACGGTTGCGCACCTGCCAGGGCCATCATCCCTGTCAAATAATACCATGCGGGACACATTTGTTTTTTCTTCGCGCGCGCACGCCGTCGTCGTCGGCCGCGGGGCCCTGAATAGTAGCCACGGTCGTCCGCATGCCACGAAGTGAAGTGTCCGAACGTCATAGGGCGGGAAGCTGGGTGTGGGTGGTGGCGAAGAGTCGTTTGGAAATTTGGTAGAGCTTGAACCGGCCCCCCCACAAAGTGGGGGTATTGCCCGCCTCCTATGAAAACCCTGGCACTGGTGAGAACGGAGTGTCCCCACGTGCTAGTAATTGTTGTTGTTGTTGTTGAACATTATTAATTCTAAAGAATAATTATTGTTGGGACCCCTGGTGCGCGACCCTGCGCCGCGCCTAGGCCGCAGCTACATTTTCATCATTTTTCGCGAAAGCTTCAGAAAAGTGGATGAGTCCGGATCCGGTTTTTTGTTGACGCTCGTTTTCCCTTGCAAAAAACAATAGAAAATGAAAATTCTTGTTCTTACTTGATCAAATTTCAAGAATCCCTTGCAAAAAATAAGGTAAAGTGGACATTCGCGCTCGCAAGACGAAATCCTTCCAAAACCTTAGGTTTCGTAACGATTTTAACATAAAAACATCAAAAACCCAATGGTTTTTTAAGAAAAAATTGTCAAAATGTCCTTCCGCGCGCTCTTGCGGATTCATAGGAAACACACCACTTTTTAAACATTTCTGTCAAAAGGGTCTTTGCGTGCTACTTCTTCAGGTGCTTTGAACTTCTCCAACAACGGTTGCGCGCCTGCGAGGGCCACCATCCCTTGCAAAAAATGAGACGAAGTGCACATGCGCGCGGCCGCCGCGCGCGCATGTCGAAATCCTGCCAAACACAATGGGTTTTCAATAATTTCAAGATGCGATGTTCAGAAAACATATGAAAACGCACTACTTTCTCATCCGAAAAATCTCGAAATCCATTCGCGGTCTCTTGATGAATCTTTAAAACCCAAGATGGCCCCAACAGGCGCGCAAGATGGCCCCAAGAGGCGTCCATGAGGCCCAAAGAGGCGCCCAAGATGGTCCCAAGAGGCTTCAAGAGGACTCCAAGAGGCCCCCAAGAGGTTCCAGAGAGGCTCCAAGGTGGCTCCAAGAGACCCCCAAGATGGCCCCAGGAGGCGTTCTAGAGGCCCCAAGAGTCCGCCGTGAGGGTCCAATAAGCCCCCAAGAGGCCCCAAGATGGTTCCAAGGAGCCCCCCAAAGGCTCTCAAGTGGACCCCAAACCGCGCCAGGAGGCTTCCCCCCTTCCCCAAGAGGACCCCAAGTACCAGGCCTTGCCACCGCAGGTCGCACAACGTAGCTCGCGGTAAGCACTGCCGTATGCAAGCACCGGCCTTCCCGCCAGCAGGCGTATCGGCAATCTCATTGGGCATCTGGGACCGCACGGGTATCAGCCAGGCCCGCACGTGTATCAGCCAGGCAGCCGGGCACCCACGCGCCCGCTCCGCGCCATCGCAGACGACGATGCGTCGCGCCTTTAGTATGCTTCTGGATGCGAAGACCATTCGGTTGAGTATACCCCTACGTGTGACTGGACCTGTTTGCGAAAGCAGGAGAAAGTATGGCACCCCTTTGTGTCCAGAGCCGCGCCGTCTGCGTTCTTCCTTTCTCGCTTCTCTCCTTTCCTCCTTGTCCTGCTCCTCCTCCCCCTCTTCCGCCTTGGAGCCGTATTGGAACTGTCGATGGCCATCTCCCTTTCTCCCTCGCATGTCTGCTTGTACATACGTATAATTTCAGAACTTACCGTGCATGCGATCGTTTACAACATGGTGGACCGTGCGTATGTCACGAACCTTGTATACATGTGTTTCTCTCCCTCCGTCTGGCTGTGCACGCGCGCGTTGGGCACTGAGAGTTAGGATCATAGCGCCATGAGTCTATGAGCAATGCATGCGTCATCCTTGGGACTGTATAACATCAGTGTAACACATGTACTTCTGTAATCGCATCCCCACGAATTTGCCCCAAAAATGTGACCAACTATCTTGGCACTGCGTACCATCTCACGTGTACCGTGTACCACATCATATGTAACAGATGTGATCAACCTCTGTGGGTGTGTACCCCACGCCAGTGTAGTAGCCAGGGTCGTCCGCACGCCACGAAGTGAAGTGTCCCAACGTCATAGGGCGGGAAGCTGGGTGTGGGTGGTCTCGAAGAGTCGTTTGGATATTTGGTAGAGCTTGAACGGCCCCCCCACGAAGTGGGGGTATTGGCTGGTGTCGCAAGAAAACCCTGGCACTGGGGAGAACGCTGAGCGTTCGGGTAAAATGATTGTTGTTGTTGTTGTTGTTGTTGGTGTTGTTGTTGTTTGTTGTCGTCGTCCCACCCGCGACCCACTCGCGACCCTCCCCGCGACCACTCGCGACCCACCCCGCGACACACCACCCCGCGACACACCGCCCCGCGACCCACCCGCGATCCACCCGCGACCCACCCCGCGACCCACCCGCGACCCAACCGCGACCCACCCGCAACCCACCCCGCGACCCACCCGTGACCCACCTCGCGACCCATCCGCGACCCACCTCGCGACCCATCCGCGACCCATCCGCGACCCATCCGCGACCCATCCGCGACCCACCCCGCGACCCACCCTCAAGGGAGGAAAAACCACCCGGACCCGACAATTTACGTTTACTAAACGGCCCTGGGCGTTGACTAGACAGCCCTGCCCTGTTCGAGTCATTCCTTGTGTGCGTTTACTAAACGGCTTCGCTTGTCGGGGTGATTATTATGGGGTGGATATTCTGCCTCTACACACGCGACCCAATAGCGACCCACCCGAGACCCATTTGCGACCCACTCGCGACCTACCCACAGTGGTTTAACGAAAAACTCGGCGCTTGCGGCGGGCTCGTTGTACAAGTTGTGTTACTTTGGCGCCTGCGGCGGGCTTCTCCAGAGTCTCGCAAACTGCCAGCGTCCCCACCCCCCCCTTACTCTTATCCGCATCTGCGGGGTGCTACGTGTTTTTGTAACTTTGTCGTCAAACATCCGCCTGTAGGGGGACATGCCCAACCTAAGCGCAGTTGTAAATTTCAACCTGCAGGGTCATAAATGGTGAAGAGTTACGTTTCATTCCCAACCGTTTTTTTCTTTCGTTTCCGTTGACTGATCTTCTTCGTCTCGACGCCTTCACACAAGATCGGCTGCACGCTTCATGGAGTCAGTTCGGGGACCTCACGCTGGCTTGTTCGGGCTGCGTTGTCGCTGGTGTAAAAAGCGGCGAGGATATCTCGCTGAAACGCCCGACCCAGCTTGCCAACACGTCTGGCTGTGCGAACCAGGAGGAGAAGGACGTTGGGCGCTGGCCGAAATCCCGATCCATTGGAACCACACAGGTCAGGAGGGGACAAATACACGCGGACACATGTGATCGTCGATTCTCAGGAAAATATTGGAACATATGGGAAGTGGGGGGAAGACGAAAACCCAGAAGATATGCGAAACTGTAGGGAGTCCGGGGATTTGTGTATACTTCTTCGTGTGTCCCTGGGCCCCCTCAGTGCTGGGCGCCGGCCGAAATTTCGACCGATTGGACTCACACGGGGAGCGCCGTGGTCGGCGTTGCGGGGGAGGCTGCCAATTCGGGCCACAATCTAGGGCCCTGGAGGGCCCCCCCAAACCCACGCAACCCGCGCCTGCCCAGCAGCACCAGCGCCGAGAAGTGCGCGCTCCGCGCGCACGTGCAAGTAAGTATACTTACCAGCATGAAGCAGACCCCTATCCCTGTGATTGGTGCAACCTCATCTCGACGCCCACCTGAAAGGATCCCCTCCGTTTCTGAGGGCCTATCCCTAAGATTGCCATCGCCTTTTGGGCTTGTCGATCTTGGGGGCAGGGATCTGTTGGAGGCTGGTTACCCGTCGAGTCGGGTTGTCTGGATGACAGATCCCACTGTATTTTAGGCGCCTTCCTACTTTGATCATCGAGTGGTGTTCCCTCTTCCGCCCTCGTCGGGGAACGGGCGGAAACCCAATCTATTTCCAGCGCGTTCCTGCTTCATGCTTCTATCCACTCCTTCCGAACGGGTCGCCGGGTCGCCGCGCCCTGGGCGCGCCCGCGAGGGCACCCCTCTCCTGCGGCGCGGCTCTCCTCGGACGCACGCGCGGGGGCCCCGGCGGGGCGTCCCCACCCAGGAACTCGGCAGCCTTCACGCGGCCAACGAACAAAAAAATAAAAAAGACTTCCGACCGACGGGTAAGAGTCCCCCATGGCGCACGCCCGCGCGGCGGCGAGGACAAGAAGTCGGTGCTCGAGCAGAGCAGCCTGGAGGACTTCTGCGCCATGGCCGACCTGGCACGCGCCACCTTCGAGGCGAGTCCTCGCTGCGGCCGCCGCCACCGCCGCCCTCGTCGTCGTCGTTGTGATCGTGGTGGCCTGCTCCGGCGCGGTCGTCGTCGTGGTCGCCGTCGTGGCTGAGGTGGGGCCACGTCGAATTCGGAGTCGTCGTCTTCGTCGAGGTGGACGTCCTCGTGGCAGTGGTCTGCTGCGGTCGTCGTGCCAGCGGTCCTGGGCGAGGTCGTGGTCGCCTTGGCGGCCGCGGGCGCTCTCTTCGCCGGGCCGTGGCGGCCCTCGTCCTCGCCGTGGCGGTCGTCGGTGCAGCCGTGGTGCTCGTCGACGCGGCCGCCGCGCGGTGCCGCGCGAGGAGGGGTGCTGCTGCTGTTGAGTTGGACATGTCCCTCTACACCTCAGGCGATGCTTAAGAAAACTTAAGTTTTCGGCCAGAGTCTCGATTATTCTTAACGTTTCAATGTAAATCTTAAGATTTTGATGGAAATCTTGGGTTTTTGTTCAAGTTCTGAGACTATGAATTTCTTAACCCATGATTTCTTAAGCATTTCGCAGGGTGTACAGGAGGAAGGTTCAAACACAGTCAGCAGAAGGTCTGGGGGCGACGTTCTGACCACTTTGGACCACGCGGCAGTGTCTTGTTCAGTATTTCTCATTCGTCTTCCGTCCGCCTGTAGGAGGGCACGCCCGACCTGAGTGCTGCTGCTGCTGCACGAGGCCCTGAGGGCCAACATGGAGTTAAAAGCTGCCGGCATCTTTGGCTAGGGTCGTTTCTAGCAACCTTCTACAGGGGGGCAGGCAGAAGGGTGCTCTGGCACGCCCGGTGGAGGCGCGCGCCCTCCGCAGACGGCTTGCCCCCTCCTCCTCCTC